CTCATTGGAAATAAGGGTAGAGGTGGTCAGTGGAGCAGGGATGAAGAAGAAACCATTTGAAACGAAAGCCGAGAAATGGACCTCTTCCTTGCCCTTCGATTTGCGCATTGATGCGACAAACTATACGTGGCGAGTGATCAGATAGTCGGTGGGAGTACCCCGCGCCAAGAGTGAGCCATGCTAGATGCCGGGCTGCCAATTGCGCGTCGGTCAGCACCCTCAGGAGGTCCGCCTGTCTCCCAACTATGCAATTTTCCCCTTCTTTGACCTTGTTCTTATCGTGAATTCCTGCTTTAATCGCTTTGAAAAACACAGCTCTGCCATGTGCGCTTTTCTTTCTCGTAAGATTCGCCTCCCTGAATGTTCTCGCTCTCTGAGCACCAGCGATCTCATCAGTTTCTCGCCCTCTCATTGCCTGTCCTCATCTAGAAAACCAGCTTTCAGTGGGTTGCCCGTTACTGTGCTAGAGATAAAATGGTTGCGTCTCCTCGTATCCTTGTGTGTGCACGCAGATATTTATGATTAGCGACGTCCGGTGCACGTGGTTGAGACAAATGAACTGTGTTCCATGAACATGAAGCGACCTCGTAACCCGGCAAACGGAGCTCACCTGCGACAGCGCTTAGAACATCACACCTTCTGAAGGAGGAGAGAGGAAAAGAAATCGCTCTAGGTAACTCATTAACACGTTGACGACCGCCGTTATGCGCGTACTGCTTCAACATTTTTCGTATTCTCTCATCAATAGGCATTAATCCTTCAGCGTTTTCATTATCAGTAATGAAAAATTGTTTTCGGATCCAATAATGTACATGGACCGTTGTGGAACAGGAAAAAAAACGCTAAATAAATCGAAGGAAAAAAATCGGGGTATGACATCATACCACACGGTCGTCAGCCTGTTAAGTATTCGGTGCTGCAGTGCTCCCGTCGTATATACAGGGGGGGGGCAAAAAAAAAAGACATTTTGCCCATGTCGCACTTCGGCCTTTTTTCTTCGCAGAGATTGCCGTCGTTGACGGGAGTTCCTCAGCAGAGTATTCCCTAAATGTCCCTCTATAAGTAACGCAGGCCCTCCTTCACTATC